GAAATAATCTGTGTTTTAATGGCTTGCATAAAAATTTACTCAATTAATAAACATTACTAAAATTTTCAGTACGATTAATATTCCTACTGCAATTTGTTTCGATGGCACGCCATTTCACATGCATTTAATAATTAATAATACTGCTCTTATAAGCGCTGGCTCAAAAGTCACATGTGGTAAAATTATTATCCCTTTCGAGTTTATAATGTTGTAAATGTTTATGGCCAGTGTCTTTTATTACGGTAATCTAACGTTGAAAATACCTTTCATAATAAACTTAATATTACAAAGGTTTTGTTAATAAACATTTACAACTTCACCGTGCGAATATAGCGTAATTATTATCATCCCATTAGTGCTAGTGGGTGGCGCAGGCGAATATAGAAAATGTCTGAAAGATTTTATGATGATAAAATAGTCATTACCCTGTATCTTGTCTGGGGTGAAGGCGTTTATTTATGGTATAAGGGTGACAAACGAGCACAAAGTCCACCTGATGGTAAGCGAATGCTGTGACCCATAGACAATGCCTCATTACCAGTAAAAAAAGGTCTACGGATCTTTACACTCACCATACGAAACATAGCGGTATTAAGCTGCTATTTTACGCTGGAATTCTGTTTGAGTTATGTCCTTCCCCGGTGGAACCGATCCGTTCGTGTTACAACCATAATATAGCTGAAGCGTGGCTCTACCACGTATAATACATTGCTGGATACGTGGTAGAGCTACGCTACAGCTACATTATGGTTTTAGCATGAACTTGTCGGCTCAACCGAGATACAGAATACGCTCTTACAGAATATTAGCGTAAAATAGCAGCCTGATACTGCTGTGTTATGTATGGTGAGATTAGTAAACCGAAGAACCTTTTTAATTGTTGTGAAATTTGTCACTCTTATTATATACAAACAATTTTTCAACTGTACGATATGTCTGGTACAGAGATTGCTTACTTGCTTGCAAAACTTTATTATTATACAAAGAGGGAGACCCATGTCTAAAAGAGTACTTTTGCAGTCTGATATGAAAAACAGTAAAAATATCCCTAACGTTCAATTTCATGATGGAAGTAATTAGTTTAGATTCGCCTCGCCATATTAGTTTTTATTTATGAATTATTACTTAGGACTTATATACGTACTGTAGAAAAAATTAAAAAGTTTACTGTTTTTATCCCTTATCATTTCTATAACACATCATTTGTTTTATGAAATAACACGCGTAAAATTATAAATACAAAAAAGTTTTACTAAAAGCATTAAAAATTACAATGTTTTATGGCTATATCATATCTAATGAAAAGAGGTCGCCAACAGCCTTGGCTTTGGTCCAAAGATCACAGTGAACCTCTTACACCTAATTACACATACAATTACAACTTTTAACAAGACAAAATCCATATTGAGTTTAACACTTTTTTACTACTTTTACTTTAACAATTAAATAGCAGCTGACTATTCTTCTTTTTATTCTTCTGCAAAATTAAGTCCACCGCTGGACATATATAATCTTTCTAAGACTGACATAAGATAATCATTTCTTAACTCTACCATTAAGATTAAAATCGCATATATTTTTTTGTTGAGGAAGGTAGATTTTAAGAGTAGATTACAGTTATTTAAAATGTATCTGGTTGTCTTTTTATTTTCAGGCACAGTTCAAGTTTAACTTCATTTTAACGTTCCACACATTTTGTTATTAATATTGTAAATGAGAAAAACATCAGAGCCTCTGATGTTTTTCTCATTTAAAATGTCAACGACATTTAATGTAACAGTAACATTACAAAAATGTTACAGTAACAATTAATTTCATATAGAATATAATGTTATATTTTTTACGTACATGTGTTTTAAATCCCGCAAAACACCTTTTCAAAAGTAAAGATTGAATTTATTTTTTGTCGCATTTGTTCGATGTTGCCAAGGAAAAAGCTAATAGTTCCGACAAAATTGCACAAAGTAAATGAGAGTTCTGTTTCTTTACAACATTATGCGTAACAACCAAATGTTCATATACCCATCGAAATTTCGAAATTTCCATTCAAATTTAATCTATATCAACGCAAAATCAAGATATAGCTTTTTCAACCGAAGGCTTAAGATCACTTGCTTGTTGCCTTGTTGCTGGTAATTGAGTCTTCGATTCTATGGCCACTCATTATAAAACACCACATACGTATAGTTATAAACAATATATAGTAGCCGCACCAGCATGGAACAAATATAAAGTTACTCTGTCCTTTATCTATACTTTTCAATAGAAATTTTAAATTAATTTAAAATAAATAATATTTATACTTAAATGCAATCTAATTATTGTCGTTCATTTTTAACAGCATCTTGTGCAACAATCTTTAAAAATATGTATTATTTATTTGTTTCGCTTCTGACGTAGATAATATGTTTAGTATATTTTATTTTAGCCACAAGCCATGGTAGCTCATGGCTAAGCGGTAGCGCTAGCTGCACAGATGGCTGGGTGCTACCATCTGCTCGGGACCCAAATATTTATAAAATTAAATCCAAGCCCAAGCATACTACTGTAAAAAGCTCCTTTTGTGTATATATGACTGAAAAAAGTTAATATTTAAAAGTTGAAGGTAGCCTTCGTTAATGATATGTCTTGACATCGGGACGTCAAACACCTCAGTCACTCAGTCCATCCGTGACTAAGGGCGCTGAAAAATCCCCAAAACTAATGGAAATCAAAAAAGTTAAAATTAAACGTGATAAAATCCGTAAAATAAGTTTTATTCTAAGTGTAGTATTCGCGTTAATATAATAAATCATTATGAAATTTATAGTTTCAGTATTATATGCTGATGTACCACATGCTCGGCAATGAAAGAAAACATCATGATGAAACCTGCATGTTAGAAAAATAAGAAGAAAATATATTTCGAAGACATGTGAAGTTTGCCAACACGCATTAGGGCAGCACTGCGGGGATTTCCTTGCTCTAAGAAACCCTCTCGGAAATTATTGGAGGCACTTGCCCAGCTGTGAGATTATAGGATTCTAGTAGGGTATATAGGTAACTTTACTTAATATTTTATTTTTACTCCTCATTTCTACAAACTTTGTTTCTTAAATTTAAGAAAATAATTCACTAAATTAACTTATTTTATGAAGATATTTATGGAATTAGTAGTTATTTTAGTTTGTTTTGATATTTTTAATTCTTTAAGAATATAAATAGTCTAGTTGCAGTAATATTTAAGGGGTGAAGTCTTCATTTTGAATTTCAATGTACATAACCTTCATATTTGCAAGAAGGCTAAGAAGTAATAACGTACATTATTCTAGCAGTTAGGACAGTTGGAAGCAAGCCAAATTCGAGCTGGCTTAAATAGTACTTATTCTATTATATTAGCTTTGAAAAATATAAAATAGAAATACTTAAAAAAGATAGGACTATATAGGGTATGTGTAAAAATAAATATCTCTAAATACTAAGTCGCATGTTATTAAAAACAATATCATATGCTACTTGAACGAAATAAACTTCTCAATTATTCAACTTCAATTATTGTGATCCATAATATTAATTGTAGTGTAAGGCGTCAATCCTAAAGGCCTATCAATATTAACCTGTGGTAGTTCACGGCTGGAAATATGCCTCTGAAGGTGCATTACTGAGACCGACCGACCGGCTTTACTCCTTCTATTATTGCCAGCAGTCTTGCACAGATTTTCATTTCATTTAGCCAGTAGGCGTGGCACATTTCGTTTTAATATCAAGCGCAGTCTTGGATATGTTCACACGACCGGTTATAATTTCTGTAACAGATGTGACCGGTAATTTTAGTTTGCAAACATGAAATGTTATAAAGATCAGCATGGCGTGAATTTATTCATTAGGAATCTTATCTACCAAAAAAAATTCGAGCATAGCTAAAATTTAAATAGTTTTAAAGGCGGTTGTAAGTAGTATTTTTTGAATAAGGGGGACAAACGAGCACATAGCCCAGCTTACTAGCGAATTGCTTTTGACGACATGTTCGGCAAGTCATACAGTTGACAATTTTTTTTTGTTAATAAGTCCAACATAAACATAGGAACTATAAAACCTAGGCCAAGATGCAATATAAATATTACTTTATTATTTTTGTGTTTCTTCTCGCTATATAAACTCTTTGCGTCCAACTCGTCTCTTGATGACGGGGGATCACACCGCCGACCATCCCGCAGTGTGAGTGCTCCATGCAGGATGTGCTGTTTACCCAACGCTCGGTGCGCAGAGCACTCCTCTCCCTGAACGTCAACAAGTCGAGTGGGCCTGATGGCGTCCCTCCTATTGTGCTGAAAACGTGTGCTCCGGAGTTTGCACTGATCTTAATGCATCTTTTTCCGGTACTCTTACTCCCTAGGCATAGTCCCAAAATCATGGAAGACAGCCTTCGTGCACCCGATCCCTATAAAAGGTAACCGTTCTGATCCGTCCAACTATAGGCCTGTCATCATCACCTCCTTTTTCTCTAAAATAATGGAATCTATTATTAACAGCCTGCTCATTCTGTACCTTGAGGATCACCAGCTGATTAGGGACCGCCTCTATGGTTTACAGCAGCAGTGTCTTCTCTCTTCTCTCAGTATCTTCTCTCTCCACTAAAGATATGTACTCTATAAACTACTGTGATTTATTTGTATACAATATTTGATATAATATTTGAATTATAATTTTCGGGTACCTGCGCGTAGAGGACGTTATGGTGGTTCAGAAAAATATTTTTCATGATTTGTAAAATGTCCCTCTGTTTTTGACATAATTCGACATTTTAGGAAATTCAAAAAAAAATACACCTTTTGCCACTCTTTTTGGTAGCAAGACTCCAAATGAAGGAATTTTTTTCAATCTGTTTTATTGATAGTATTTCTGGATGCAAAGCGCTAGTGCAGCTGACGTATTTCTACATTAATTGAAAACAAATTGTAAAATGGAATACAATTAAGAAAATTTAGTCCGAACCTCAGTTGTCCAGACATGCATTTGTAATGGCGTTGTACTTTGACAAATTGTTTCAGTCATTAGGGGAAAATGCAAACACAGTAACAGTATCTTCTCTCGCCACTAAAGATATGTACTCTCTAAACTACTGTGATTTATTTGTATAAATATTTGATATAATATTTGAATTATAATTTTCTGGTACCTGCGCGTAGAGGACGTTATGGTGGTTCAGAAAAATATTTTCATGATTTGTAAATGTCGCTCAGTTTTTGAGATAATTCAACATTTACGGAAAATAAAAAAAATTGCAACCTCTGCCTCTCTTTTTGGTGGCAAGATTCCAAATGAAGGATTTTTTTAAATCTTTTAAATGGATAGTATTTCTGGATGCAAAGCGCTATCGAATGTAATCTATGATTTTTGGTGCGCATGCATAATTTTTTTAAATTTGTATAACAATAGTGCTAAACTTTACTTCATTACTTGAAATTAGCTTAAATATATAAATTTCGTAACTTTAGGATTTAATAATGATAAAAAACGGGAGAAAGTAACAATTTTAAAATATCGTTTTATTAAATTAAATTTTAATTTTAAAAGATGTACAAAGTTGCCACCATGAGCTCTAATGCATGCTCTACATCTTCTAATTAATGACCGCTTTATTCTACTTGCATATCTTATTTCAGTAATTTTTGTGCAGCCATTATTGCACACGATCCCGCAGTTAGTCCACTGAGGTAATAAGATCTTTGTAGGCCTTCTCTTTCAGGAATCCCCAGTAAAAAAGTCGAGTGGGTTAAGGTTCAGTGATCGTGGGGGCCACAAAATTGTTGCTGATGCCCAATCCATCTTCTGGGGCATACATTTCGTTGAGATATTCTCAAATGCTACGGGCGTAATAGGCGAGGCAACCCTCGTGCTGTATTTACATTCTTCGTAGTCTTCAAGTCGGGAAATCGTATCTTAAAAATGCAAATAGCTTTCTGCGGTCAATGTTCCTGACAATTCGTTGATTGGTTCAATTCCAAAGGTTTATTTTAAATTGATACTGGGATCTGTCTTCTATCACTAAATGGGGGTTGGTGCACTGCTAACTGTGCAGATTGTGTATGTTAAAATATCCGTCTTTTATGCATGTGGACTCGTCGCTCCACTGAATTTTATCGAAAAATTCAGGATCATTGTTCAATTTTCTTATCATGTTTTTGCAGAATTCAACTCTTGCAGGATATTTTATGGCAGCGAACATTAAAGGCGCTAATATTGAAATGGATGTAACTTCTTTCGTTTTACTATTCTATGGTGCGCACAGAGGTGGTCGAGTCAGCTGCGATTTCATCATGTACATCCTCTTCATTGTGAACTCGTGGCTTTCCGTTACTCGTTCCGCCAATACCAGTTTCAGGTATTGGACCTTCCATGAATGCATTATGCACGCGAGTATATACTCGAGAGGAATCTTATCTTAAAAACTGTATTAGATTTGTAACGGCGTTTGGCAAAAGAATTTTTTTAAAGATGTTATGAAATTAATACGTGTAATAAAATAATATGGTATTTGAAAAGGACGAAGAGAGAACGAAATGTGAAATATGGGTAAATCAGGAATGACTAGAACAGGTAAATGAAATTGTATACTTGTGGAGTGCTTTCAGCCGGGATGGAAGATGTGATTTAGATGTGGATAGGCGTGTCGCTGCCGGAAACAAAGTCAATGGTGCCCTGAATGCATTAGTCAAAAGACAAGGCGTGGTGAAGAGTGCACGCCTTGCAATACATAACGCAGTGTTCGTACCGACTTTGTTATATGGCAGCGAAACCTGGGTATGCCAGAAGAAGCATAAAAGCAAGTTGAATGCAGTGGAGATGCGATCTCTTCGTAAAATGTGTGGCGTTACCATAGCCGATCGAAAGCGAAACGAATAGATTCGCAATATGGCAGGATTGAAAGATGACCTTATCACAAAAATTGATAGGGGCGTACTCCAATGGTTTGGGCACGTTGAACGAATGAGTGAAGACCGAATGGTGAAGAAAATATATAGAGCGAAATTAAATATTAAAAGGTGTCGAGGTAGACCGAGACTAACTTTCGAAGACCATGTGAGCAAATTGCTCGAAGAGGGGAAGGTCAAGAGTACTCGTATACCTAGACGTGCATGTATGAAGAAGTTAATGAACCTGAAGGAAGCGAAAGAGGTATGTAAGGATCGTAACACTTGGCGATCTGTTCTCTCTGGCTACCCCGTTAGGGAAGTATAAAATAATATGACGTGTCTTACCCAGTTTGAAGAGCACCTCTCGCCCGCCCTCAATAATTATCTGCACTATCCCTGTCACCTTTCACCACTCATCCCAGCACTACAACTCGCATCATCACTACACTAGGAAAGAAACACCATCATCAAAACACAATCTTCAGGTGAAATATACTATGCGATGGCTGACTGAATTTTATTTCCCAACGTCAATAAACAAAAAAGTTATTTTATATTTTATGTATGTAATACAAAGAGCTTAATAATAGTCAAATTCTTGCATATAATATATATGATCAAATACAATGCACATTGAAGTAAGACGAAATGGTTAAATTTTCCCAACAATGCATTTGCAGTGGCATTGTCTAGTGATAAATTGTTTGCGCCATTTGCGAGCAGGAAGCTTTGCATCAGATACCCCTACGTATTACGTTATCAATATTCCTATAGTTGACAGAATTCTATTAGAGCCTGTTGAACCATGACTGAAACAAAACTCAGGAAACTTGGTTATAACACAGGAAACAATGCAAATATGAAATCAATCTTATGTATGTGGTTTTAATTTCTTGTAAAGAAAATTAACTTCAAAACTTTTATTTTAATTTCAATTTTACATAGGTGGGCACACTTTGATGTTTTTTTTTTATTCTAATATTGTCTCTTACGTCTTTACCTCTTTTAGGTGTTACATTCTCAACGCAAAATTCTTCGTACAAAAAAGTTTTTAAGTAATTGCCTATTGATTTATTTATTTAAGAAACTACACAGTGCTTATTTCATATTGAACTTTTGTAGAGATTAGAAATTTGGTTTTGATACTGCATAGTAGAGACAGAATCAGGTTAAGTATGCACTCTAAAAAATATGATTATATTGAGGAACTGCATTTTAAAATAGACATTCTTCTGTTTTTATTTTATCAATTATATTATATTCTTCTTCTTTACCCTCAAGCTTCAAAAGTCCAATTATGCCGGGCTCTTAACATTGATGTGAAAGACCAATGTCCGGGTCTTTACCATTGATGAAAGGATTCATTCACTATAAGCAATAATATTACAAATAACATACATTGCGTCTACAATTAAAATCTAAATGTCTAGAGATTTGCTAACGTACATACAGAATATCGAACTTTTCTTCGATTGACAAAATTGGAGACTTCACATCTGAAAATAAGGTATCCCCTCTTGTCAAAGTGTATCTTGATTTTTTGTAGAGTACGGATAAATTTTTATTTATAGTATTGAAATCACTAATCAGGTAGGTTTATTTTTCATCTGTGCCACATTCAAAAATATTTTTTAAAGAATCAAAATTATACTATTGTAAATCGGACTATCCATTATCGGTATCGGTTGAATTTAATCTACTTTTATTTTATGGGCAAGATGCCCCAATAAGCTCACTCTTTTGGTAGCACCTTATACTCTGTCCATTTCGTGCAACTGTCAGACCATTAATTTTCTCCTTGGTGTTATTGGGGCTGTTGGTTGCTATGGTAGCTTTGAACGTTATAGTATTGATTTTTTTGACAGTGTAGTAACTAATATTTACGATTTTAGATCATTCGTTATATTTATAACTTCATAAAAGTATTTTGTTATTAATAAATATTAAAGTATCAATTTTAATAACTTTAATACTTTTTCGTACACAACCACGCTGCAGCTGTGTGTGGTTTTATCACGAATGTGTCGGCTTAATCGGTTGAATTGGAAGGAGACGAAGACTTTTTCCTATTTTCACTTTTATTTTCTAACTTACAAGTTATCTCACTACTACTATGAGTACACAGTAATACTAGACTACATAAGTTACAAACTAACTTTATTACTACTGAGCTATTTCAACAATGATGACTTGATGTTTATATCATGTTGAATATTCTTTAGTTACAAAAGTAAATTGAGTCACATCTTTGAGGACGTGCTTTTTGCTTAGCAGGCGGTGCTGTTTGATAAGCGACTTCGCTATCGGTGAGTGTAGAGGCCCCTTTTTACTGGAAATGATGCCTAGTTCATTCATCATGGTACTCAGCAATGTGACTTCATCTGCATCTGCAATTCCCCTGGTGTTGCAATTTTTCATGGGCGGCGGTAATCACTTACGATCAGGTGAGCCATATGCTTGTTGGCCCTTGTCTTTTTTTTAAAAATAAGGCTCTGTCGAGTATAGATCGGCTGGGACAAGGTAGGGACACACTCTCACGGAATACTGGTATAAAAGAGTAGCTTAGTGCTCTTGTGTTTTGTATGGTGTGTGTATAGAACCGGAGACCCTTGTTACTCGAAATGAGGCATGCCAGATTAGCTCGCAAGGGTAACAACGCATCTGCAACTTGATACTTAACACGATTAAGTATCAAGTTGCAGATGATAGATGCCAATGGGCTACAGAATTTACTTACCGGGAGGACTGTGTGCTCTTTTGTCATACTTAACCTTTAAATAAAAATATGTACTATAATACTCTTAAACTGGCCTGTTTTTATCATCTTATTTTTAAGATTTAGGAGATACATTAGTAAAACGTGTAAATGGTAGCTTTTGGTAACTAGTTTTATAACTCAAAAATTGTTATTTTTCTTTTATTTTTCTTAAGTTAATAATAGCAGCAAGATTTTCTGCTGTTTTTAAAGACGAGTAAGGTACATTAATTGAATAAAGAAAAATATCCACACCAGGAACAATTATTTGTAGGCAAAACACTTGTTCCGTGCGAGATTTGAACTTGCGGATCTGAGGCACTAATCAACGCTTATCTTATACATCGCACTAATAGTACAATACTGCTGTAACTCAAAATATGTTCAATTTGTGATAACATCATATTCAAACGCAAAATTCAGTTCCCTACGCGTCAATATTACCGTCGTTAGAATAGTGCAATAAGCAAATAAGAGATGGCTCAATTTGTCATTGTTTATGATTGACCGACTGTTGTAAACCCCCACCCAATATTGCATCATCTTTAGTTACGATCGAAACTCGGCTAATAAGGGTGTGTCGCACTGTGTTTTAGACCGTATTAATTCGAATTTGAACGTTACTGCTGAACAGGTATGTAAAAGTTAAACCATTTAATTCCAGTTAATATATTATAGTTGATTTAAACCTAAAGATAAATTTGGTGTATTTGTAGTTGTTACACTTGTTTTAAATAATATTTTTACTTACGACATTCTTGTTGGTTTAGTAAGTAATTTTAGATTTAATACAGTTTTGTTGAAGAATTTTAATTACCTTGTTTCTTGAGATAATTTGATAACATTTAAACAAATACTTATTTGTTAATCACAGCATTTAAAGTTACGCATTCAAATATGTTAAAGTAAAAATAAGAATATTTTTATTAACTATTTTTTTAATTATTTAGAGTTATTACATTCTTGTCTTCATACAATATAGTCGTATAAAGTGACTTACTAAATAAATAATTGGTTTTATTTGTAGAATAAGTATGCACCGTGGGCGATTGCTTGTGGATATGGCGACAAAAACAAAGTCAAAAAATCACCAGGGGAAGAAAAACGACGAACTTTCTCAGAACGAAGCTGCGCAAGAACAAAAGGCGTCCTCGATAACTTCACCTTCTAAAATAATTAATCCAGTTCTTCAAGAAATTAACGTGAACAATACACTCAGTACGTCTAGCAATGTTGAATCAATGACCAAATCTAACCAAACGAAATATTACACTCTGATGAGAGTGATTTTGATGATTCTGACTGTGACCCTCATTTTATTCCTGGTTCAATAAGTAAAGCTCCGAGTTTACTTCGAAGTGGTGCAACAAAATCGTCATGTAGTTCTTCGTCAAGTAGCTCTTCTTCTAGTAGCTCTTCATCAAGTAGCTCAGATCAGGAAGCTGAGTATGCCTTAAATCCCGTTGCATCAACTAGTAGATCAGCAATTCAAACGGCTAAAGAGTCAAATGTTCCCTCAGAAGTGCAGAACAACAGAAAAGGCAAAAAGTGGGTACCTAATGTATTAAATCGGAAAAGTAAAATAGCTATAACACCTCGCAATACTGGTAAAGCATACTAATCAGCGACTAACAAACTGGTACCTGCAAAGAAGATGGGACCGATATGTGGCGAAAAATGCAGGTTAAATTGTGGTTCAAACATAAATGAGACACCAAGACAGAACATTTTCAAGAATTATTGGAGTTTAGGTGATTTACAAAAACAAAGAGAATTTATAATTAGACATACTACGGACATTAAACCAAAATTACAGATACTCATCCACTCAACATTTACGTAAATTAAATACCGCATTTCATTTCCAGCTAAACCATAATTATATCAGACTCTGCAAAACATTTTTTAAAAATATACTCGCAATAAACCACAGACCAATTGCTACAGCATTATAAAAAAAAACAGACTGGTTTTGTATTGGAAGATATGCGAGGGAAACATGGTAACAAATGCACTTTCTAGTAGAAGTCTATAATAGTGTCAAACAATTTATTAATACCATACCACGGATCGAATCACATTGTCTTAGAGCCCAGACATCACGGGAGTACATTCTGTGTGATAAATTTTTAGCAGACTTATACCGTGACTACAAAGAAATTCTTACAAAAGAGAACCTACCATCTGCTTCTGCATCTACTTTTAACCGCATTTTTAATAAAGATTTCAATATTTCCTTTCATACGCCGCGATATTATTAATAATGCTCCCTTAAACTTGTTTAAGTATACTTATTATAGTATAAATACTTTCGCTTAGGTCCAGTTTAATGACTACGTACCATTACCGTGCAATTACAATAGTAATTAATTATTTATATCTATGAATATGTATGAATATTCGACACTAAGACTTTGATATGCTCCCATTGAGTCTCGGCAAATTTAAAAAAATGTTAAACGATAATTGCGTTAATTTTATTAATAAACCTAATAAAGCATTACATTTTTTATAATTTAGGAAGTGAATAATAAATTTTTCAACGATTCTGAAAAAAGTCACTTTTTGAGTTACAACAGTATTGTACTATCAGTGCGACATATGTACCTGTATGATTTACATTATGTAGCACAAAATCTACATAATGTAAATCGTTCACAAAGTGAAATTATCATAGTCCAAATTATATCCTGTATTATTTCTTTCAAACCGGTGCTCGACAGTAAATTTGCTATTTATAGAGGCTTAGCGGCTGAAAAGTCATACAACCCAATAAAGTGTTATAACAGAAAAAATTACATTTTTATTTTAATTTAACAGACACAAGTTACTGTTATTAATAACATAGTATTACAGATTGATACAATAACGAATAGTATACATACATATCATACACGTATAATAAGTACTCAGCAAAAGGATAATGCTAACGGGATAGATTATGGAATCATATATAAAATATTTATAATTGAAAGAAATGAAGATACCCACCGCTTTTTAATTGTAGTATTGTTAAATAGTTATATATCACAAAAAAACTTTATGATCAACGCAATTAAAATAGCCTCAATATACGTTCGTTAAGAACATAAAACTACAAAGCTCTTTTTTCTTTACCTAGAGACACGAGGAGTGAAAAATAACAAGGTTGTATTATTCTAACAGCTGGTAAAATTGGAAGCCCGCCAGCCAGTCTCTGCTTTACTAATCAGTTGTACGGGCCTTGTTTTACTTCGTCTCGTCCGTTAAAAAAATGAATTGAAAATAATGGTATCATTTCGATTGGCTTCGCCTGTCTAAACGTACTAACTGTCTAAGTGTACGTCAACTTGTATTTTTATACAACTGCGACAAACGAACACATAGTGCACATGCGGATAAGTTGGCCGTGACCCATATATACCTACATCTGTCATCACCGATGACTGACGATGATTCATCAGAATCAAATGCAGATTCGTTGTCACCCTTGACGTTTAAGATGGCAAACCTCGTTACCAATAAAAAGTGCCGCTGGTTCCTTACGCTGGCATGCTGTGAGAGCGAGGTTACGTCCTCGGGTGTGGTGATCCATTGGTTCTGCAGCCACAATAAAGTTACTTGGTAATAATGACAAAGAGTTAATTGCTAAACTCTACCACTGTCTAACGAAGAGCAAACATTTTTGACGGATTGTGACAAACTTATTCACTCATTCATTCATTACATTATTTCAGATTCCACTGCATAACATAGACCTCGGCATATAATGCTACATAAGGGGTTTGCCATATTTGCCACACTTGAGAGGCGGGTCGGCAACCAAAGTATTTCTCCAGTCATTATTAGAAAGGCGACTCTTCCCATCTCTTGGTTTCTTCTTCTCTGTCGTCTATATTCCATATGCATCGCCCCGTCGGTTTCATTAGACCCACGGGGCGATATGGGGTAGGAGATGTTCTAACACCGCAAATTCACGGTTAATTATGTTGTATAGTGCTTGATAGTGAAAATACTTTTTGGTAATAATATAGCATCCTGTGTTTCAAACAATGAGTGAAGATTGGGAAGGCCCATTGTGTGGTAAAGGTTTTTTCACTTGGTATTTACATAACATAAAAGTGACAAAAGAGCCACCTCTTTAACCAATGGTAACTGGTTGTTGCAACCAATTGCTCTTACAATCAACTTCAAACAAAGACGATAATATATGAGCAGAGATATCTAAAGTATAAAATGGTACAATTTATAGTATCGTATTATACTGCTTGGCGATAGAAAGCGTTAGGGACAGACAGGGACTTCCTCTTAGTAATTTGTTCACATAAGTAACAACGCACCCTTCTCTTAATGGAGTTTTAATACCAGACGGATTTGCGCCTGTCCTTATGAAGTTGGCCAATTAAGTCCAGTACATATTTATTTGACGGTCTTGATATATATCGCGGTCGTAGAACAATGCCTTAAAAATACGAATTCTTATAGTAGCCACTTTGAAGACTTTAATTTTTTATATCTGTCAATATAAATCAATATAAATTGAAGCACTGTTTTCCACCCTCAATATAATCAATAATTGTTTACCGCTTATTATATATACACATACACACATACACACACACACACATATATATATATATATATATATATATATAAATAATGGTATGAAAATAATAATTAGGCATAGATATTTATTTGTTAATTTTAAACTTTTCAGTAATGTAATTAATTTGACAAAAATGTAGTTTCAATAATGTTTCAATTGACATATTATTATATTTATATATGGACATATATAAATCTATTCAAGTAAATTATGTGAGTATTATTTTATCATGTAGTGATAATAATAATAGTCTTTATTTGCATAAAACATGGTAATTATACAGAGGTTTCAGAGCTTTATTATGCCCACATGTTTTGCTATTTTAATATAATATAGCATGCGAATTACATTTAAATCAAAATAACCTATATAATTTGCAGTTTGCAATGTCAGAAATTCATTAATATCATAAATGTTTTTGTCAATTAACCAATGGTAAAATCTTTTTTTAAATAAGTTCATATTATGCAGTGTTTCAATTTCGTCAGGTATTTTGTTGTATATACGTACACACATTGATATGTGATGTTATGAATGACTCAAATTTATTGAAATTAACGATTAATGTAATTATTTTGGTTCAATATAGATATATTTGCAAAATAAAAAGTATTTTATTCTATTATGCACCATTACAAAATTTTATTGCAACACCCTTAAATGAACTGATAAACTAAATATTGAAATTTGTCATATATTAAATATATATTATACCTATCCTCTACTGACACAGACAAGCATCAAAAGGGAAATCTTATGAAAATGTAAATAAATTCATGAAATCCTACCAATATTGGGCCTGTGTCAACGAAACCGTTCATTTTCCACCCTCCCTTAATATAAAAGATTTAGTTCGCATAATATTCATACTCCAACGGAGTCCATTAAGTTCAGTTTGATTTAGGGTTGGCGCGTTTTAGTAGAAAAGGTATGATGATTTCTAGAACAATAATTTGTAATCTCATACCTACCTAATAATAATAATACCTCTATTGCATATATTCTATGCTGAATTCAAGCATCAAAAACCTTTGAAAAATTAGTAATAATATAAGTAATAATGTTATTAAAATTATTCAAATAATTTGATAGGTACATAATAATATCAGAGTTTATGTATTTATATTGAATTTTTTTTTCGCAATAAAAATTATTAAAATAAATAAATTCATACAACTATTACTGATCGTATATTTAACTAGATTTCTCAAGTACCATTCAATTATAAATAGGCCACACATATTATGTAACTTAAATAATAAATATTACTAATATCGTTTGGCAGCAATGAGATTCCAAAAGAAATTGCTTTACTATCTGGGCCACTACTGATAAAGAAACTTTGGTAGCTCAGACCTCAGCATATGCCGTAAATTTCATGGTACAGGAGCAACCCGGGTTCGATCCCTGTCCAAACAAAATTCTTAGATGCAATTTTATAAATACTTGTTGAACGCTGAGTCAAGAAAAAAACGTGCATGTCTGAGAAACATAAATTTGACGAAGACATGTGAAATCCGCCAACAGCCAAAACGCACTATTTCAACGTAACGGACTAATTGCTTTATAAGTGTCTCGGTAATTAG